GGCCGGCGGCCATACCTACCATGAAATGGTAGAATTAATTATATGCTATTAGCTGCAAGCAGAGGGATGGATCCGAACCCCTGAAGTTGGGTATTTAGCGATGAGGACTTACTCGTGCAGAGAAAGGAAAATGACACAATAAGTCCCTGAAAGTTGTACACAATTCAATTAAGCCCCTAAAAATTTGTTATCATGTAAGTCACCATGTTTCTTCCTTTAGGCAAACATAAAATGTAAAAGAAACATTAGAGAATGATTTGTGTTTTATTATTATTATTATTATTAGACTTTTTCTAACATTTGCCCTTAAGGGGGTAATTATATCACTTTTTTCTCATTAATTACTATTGAAAAAAAAGAGTTAATTTTTATTTAAATAACTATAAAATTAAAATTATCTACCTGATCAATTTCAAGTTTTTAGTTTTTTTAATAATAATTATTATAAAAAAGTACAATAATTATACTTTTAATATATACTAAGGTACACATATTAGACAAACCCTTATTCTTATTATTGCCATGCTATTCCTCTGCCTATCAAGTGTTACTTATGGTGATTAGCTATCAAAATTTGGATGAGCAAGAAGAAAAACAATGAGAGGGAGAATGCGAACAAGAGAGTTTGGATGAATAACACGAAGCTTTCGGATAGTAGAGTCTTATAAGAGTTCTAGATTGCATGGACAAGGTCAATCGCATCAGCAATTAGGAGGCTACAACAAAGGAATTCACAACCAAGCTGTTCCCTTTTTCTTCACGAACTTCCCAAAAGTGAGGTCGTTTGAAGATATGTGGAGAGCTTTTAGCAGAACAGGATTGAGAAAGGTATTGGAGATTGATTGTCCCACAAAAAGTGATAGACTGGGAAGACAATTCAATTTTGTCTGTTTCTTAGAAGTGAAGAAGGAGGTAGAATTGGAATGAAGGCTAAACGAAATCTGGATTGGAAACTTAAGGTTGCAAGCAACCAAGCCACAATTTGCAAAAGGAGAGCATCCCACCAAAAGGGGCTTGGGAAATCATCCCACCCAGACACTAAAGAATAGGGGAACACAAGCAAAAAGCAAAAATGATAGAGGGGGGCAACATGCTGTAACTTATGCAAAGATGATAAGAAGACAAGGTAAGTCGAAAATAAGAGATGAGTTGGAGGACAATGAAGTTCCAAGAGGAAGGAGACAAAGGGTTGCCACTAGATCAATAGGAAATGGGAGAGGGGGCAACATGCTGTAACTTATGCAGAGATAGTAAGAAGACAAGGCAAGCCAAAAACGACAGAAGAATTGGAGGAGCATGAAGTTCCAAGAGGAAGGAGACAAAGGGTTGCCACTAAATCAATAGAAAATGGGAGAAACAAAAGGTGGTTACCCAAGCATCAAGCACAGACCTGGTTGAGGTTGGAATTCAATATTAATACAGATGAGTTCTCTTGGTTGGAAAAATGCTATGTTGGAACAGTTTATTTAGTGAACATAATACCAAACTTATAGGAGAAATTTTACATGGAGCAAGTTTTCTACTGTAACATAAGAGCTATGGGAGGAAAGCTTGTTCTCTTGGAAGGTAGTGATTCTGAAGATCTGAAGGCACTTGTTGAGATGGGACAAGACTGGTTAGGGCAATGGTTCGAAGATATTAGACCATGGTCCCCTACTATGGTGGCTACTGAACATTTTGCATGGATTCATTGCAAAGGTCTTCTTTTGCATTCCTAGAAAGTTGACGTCTTTCAAACTTTTGGAAGCTTATGGGGAAAGTTTATTACACTAGATGATAGCACAAGCATAAAGAAGAGATTTGACGTGGCTAGATTCCTTATTACAACCCCGTTTACGGATTTCTTATCAAAGTTTCTAAGTGTCAACATAAATGGAAAATTATTCAAAATTAAGTTCACAGAGGAAGAATCTGAAAACAATCTATTCTCTATTAGGATAGATCATGTGTTAGGGAAACTAATGATGGTAATGGGGAATCATGGGCATCAAATGATTCAATAGAGACAGATTCAAGTCTTGAAGGAAGCTCCACTACTTTTTGACGAACTGACAATAGAAGCATGGCAGATGAAGATGATGTTGACGTGGAAGACATAGTGGCTGAGGTGGCTAAAACAATTGGTGAGGTGGTAGGTGAAGTTGATGATAAGGTGGAAGACACAACAGATGAGATGGCTAAAACAACTAGTGGGATGTCAAATGGGCTTAACGAGGCAAAATCTACTAGAAAGGCATCAATTAGGACAATTAAAGAAGCGAAGAAGATTGGGATAAATGTGGAGGAAGAAGTACAATCTTCAAATTTGAATAGCCTAAAGCTCGGGGTAGCTGTCAAAATAGCTGATACATGTGCAGCCAAAAATAGTGATGAGGTGGATTTACTTGACGCCTCAAGCCTTGTGGCCTTTATGATTTTTTTTTTTTTTTTGAGAAAAAGGAAATTCCTGTGGCCTTTATGATTAATGGCATTGGGAGTGAGAATCATGCACTCTGCATGGCAACTAAAGGAGGTAATGAGGTAGATTTGAATGGGGATGGCTACTCATTAATTGGTGATGGGAGAAAAGAAATCGACTCTATCAAAGATTTAAAGATGGCTGCAATTTCAATGCAAGCAAATGAAGAGTTATTGGATGGGGTTGGGTTTACTTGTCTTAGACTAGATGATGAGAAAGTATTCGAGCCTGAAGGTGAAAATGTAGAAGGTGGGTCTAATCATGTGTGGGTGTCCAAGGTTAGGGGTCCAATGGAGAATGGGCCTCCAATTTCAATAGGTTGTACTAACAGTAATTTATTGGGACAACCCCAATTCAAACCAAATCAAGAAGATTTGAGATCATTTTGGGAAGGCTTGGAAAGTGAATTAGGTGAAGTAGCAGAATGGATGAGGAAAAGGGAACATAAAGTGAAAAGGAAGCAAAGAAGAATAGTGAAGTCTTGTGCCTCAATCTATAAGGAGATAGGGGGATTAGAAGACAACATGGTGCACAAAAGGAAGAAGGGCTGCCGTTTGAAGTTTGCAACTCAAAAGCAAATGTTGACTCTTGAACCCAATTCAGAAATCTCAATGGTTGATGTTTCAATTAATGACAATAATATCTAGAATTGCAATTGGTGCCTTCACTTGAGGGATGCAAAAAGGTCTGTAACAGCATTATGGGAGCAAGTGAAGGTTCTTATGGTTAAAAAAATAGGAGATGAACATGTGATTTTGGAGAAAATACATGAGTTGGAAGTCAGATATAAGGAGAAAAAAAAAGGAAAGAAGAGATGGGCAAATCGAAAAGCAAGAAGCAAGTGAATTCACATCCATCATGATTTTATTATCTTTAAATATAAGAGGTTTAGGAGGGAAAGGGAAGAAAAGAGTAGTTCAAGAACTAGTGGCAAAAGAGAAAGTTGATATGTTATTTTTACAAGAGACAAAAGCAGAAGATGTAGATAGGAGATTGTGTAGAAGAATTTGGGACTCAGAAAATATGGACTGGGTTGCAAAACCAACCATCAGTGCTTCTGGTGGGTTGATTCTTATCTAGAACTGTGATGTGTTTAAAAAAGTTAAAGTGTTTGAAGGAGATGCTTTTATTGGGATATTTGGTTTCTGGGAGTTGATGCAATTCCATGCTTTCTTGCTAATGTTTATTCTCCCTATGATCTTGCGGGCAAGAGGATTTTGTGGGAGGAATTAAGTAATTTATTAAAGAGTTGTAAAGGAAAATGATGTATTGGTGCTGATATCAATGCCATCAGATATTTACATGAAAGGAGAGGAGGTCAAAGTGCTCGAAGTGAACTCAAAGGTTTTGATGAATTCATTAAAACAAATAGTTTGGTGGATTTGCCATTGTTGGGTGGAAAGTTCACTTGGTATCAACCAAATGGCATCACTATGAGCAAATTGGATCGCTTCCTCTTCACTGAGGAGTGGATAACAATATGGACAGATCTAAAACAGTGGGGTTTACCTAGATCTATATCAGATCACTGCCCAAGATTAGTAAAAAATGCAGCTTGTAATTGGGGGCCAAAGCATTTTAAATTTTCAACGCTTGGCTAGAAGTTCCAGGTTTCAAGAATCTAGTTATAGAGAAATGGAAACAGTCTAAGGTGAAAGGCTGGGGCATCTATGTACTTAAAGAAAATCTAAAGCTTCTAAAAGGCATTTTAAAGACTTGGAGTAAGGAACATAGAGTGGAGGTGGATGAGAAAATAGAAAGAGCTAAATTTGAATTATAAATACTTGATTGTAAAGGTGAATTTAAACAGTTGGATGCAGAGGAGACTATAGCTAGAAGGAACTGCATTAAGGATCTGTGGGCGAACATTTGACTAAAGGAAGACATTCTACAACAAAAATCGAGGTTAATAGGGTTAAAACCTGGTGATGCGAACACAAGGTACTTCCATAGAAGCATCAAAGGAAGATGGCGCAGAAACCAAATTAACTCTCTATTAGTCAACGAAGTAGAATTAACAAGTGTTGAAGAGCTCAAAGATTGGGCAACCAATTATTCTAGAGAATTGTTTACAGAGGAGGAGTGGTAGAGACCAGTTCTAGATGGTGTTAATTTTAAATGCTTATTACCCACAAATAGGACAAGTCTTACTGAATCTTTTACTGAGGAAGAAGTCAGATTTGTAGTTTGGGAATGTGATAGTGCAAAGGCTCTTGGACCTGATGGTTTTAGTTTTGACTTCATAAAGTTAGAATGGGAAGTGTTAAAGATAGATGTATTAAGTTATTTGACAGATTTCCACCAAAATGGCAAGCTGGTACGGGGGTCAAATGCCTCCTTCATTGTACTAATCCTTAAGTTAGACAATCCACAGAAAATAGAGGAGTATAGGCCAATTAATCCAATAGGCTGCATGTATAAATTCTTTCAAAGGTCTTGGCAAATCGATTGAATAGAATCCTTGAGGGAATTATTGGGGAGCAGCAATTAGCTTTCATTAGAGGAAGACAATTAGTTGATGGGTTGGTTGTAACTAATGAGGCAATTGAGGAAGTCAAAAAAAGGAAGTCCTGTTGTTTTATCTTCAAGGTTGATTTTGAACAAGCCTATGACAAAATTAGTTGGCAATTTCTGGATTATATGATGGTTAGAATAGGGTTTGATGATATTTGGAGAGGATAGATAAAGCAGTGCCTTCAATCAAACTCAGTTTTAGTATTGCTTAATGGTAGCGCATCTAAAGAATTTTCCATGAGCAGGGGTCTAAGGCAAGGAGATCCTTTACCTCCTTTTCTCTTTTTAATTGTAGCAAAGGGTTGTTGGGAAAAAATGGCGCAGCGAAATAAATTAATTCTTGTGAACAAAACACATGAACAATAATGAGAATGGTGAAACAGGCGGCTTAGCCGACTAATATTAATTGTTAGTAAAAAAGGCAATGTAGCCAACCAAGCAAAATATATTGGGCGGTTTAACCAGCCACTTAGAAAGAAAATAAAATAAAACTAGCGATTTAACTAGTCACTTAAGAGGAAAAATAAATAATAAGATGACACCAAATTTTACGTGGAAAAACCCTCAAAAACTATTGAGGGAAAAAACCATGAGACAAACTCTGAAGGATATTCCAAACTCCAAAGGATATTCCACTATATAATAAAATTGTACAGAGTATACACTCAGGTATTTTCTCTCTTAGAGTTTCCCACTCCTTCCGAATATGATCACAATCTTGATAAACTCACAATTTTATCACTCAATGCACTCTCTCTATGGAGCACACTCACACCTAAACTTAATGCCTAGCTCTCAACCCCTTTTTTTCTTTCCACCCGAGCTCTCACTTTGATCACTTGGCGCTGCACTCTTGCTACTTGCTTGCTTGCCCTTTGCATGCATGGGTATTTATAGGGAAAGAAGCCAACCACCCATGCGTGAATTTCTTTGCCTCATTAAATGAGTGAGCTTACAATGGCTGAAATAACCATACAAGACTTCAACAAGTGCTGCTATAGGTGGGATATTTGGTTTCTGGGAGTTGATGCAATTCCATGCTTTCTTGCTAATGTTTATTCTCCCTATGATCTTGCAGGCAAGAGGATTTTGTGGGAGGAATTAAGTAATTTATTAAAGAGTTGTA